CCTTTCTCTCAGATCCTCTCTTGCCTTCCTGTCTCTCACTCACCTTGCATTGAGGCAAACTGTTACAACTTGAATTCTCTTCCTCCCGTTCCCAGGTTCCCAGGAAGGTAATAATAATTAAAGCCCTTTTCCTCAAGCCAGCCATAAAAGCTAAAAATAAATAAATAAATAAATAAAATCCTCTAGCACCCCCACTACACACTACACAGGTTCTAAGGAAGAGCTATCTGTAGAGGAATTATTGGACCTATCTTGCTTGGTCCCTAATACTGCAATGAAGACTGGGTAAGGATCTGGCCAGACAGTCCCTGTAGATCTCCCTCTCAGTCTGCTGCTGTTAGTCTGATTGCTGCTGTACCCTTCTTCTTCACTAGCATTTGCTGACCAACACAGTTGACTAAGCTTCATTAATCCTGTAAGTAAACACGGGCCACTTAACTTCAGATGGCAGTCAGAAGGCTTCCATGTCACATGTAACTGTAACCAAATAATTGTGCTTTTCTCTGGGTAATCTACACTGCCAGTTCAATTCAGTGACATCTGAAAGGGAAGCTCTAGACTCTATCAACAAAGATAGATGTGAAAATCTGGGGTTTGGCACAAGCTGGCTTGAAGTGGCTAAAGAGGGAAATGAGGGGATGCAACATGCTCCCGCCTCTAAGTGCTGCCCCGCTCCTTCTCCATGGTCTAACTGTCTACAGAATAGACTTTTATCCTAAAGGGAACGTGCTATAATGGTAAGCTTGTGGACAGAGAGCCTCCAGGACAGCCAGGGCTACACAGAGAAACCCTGTCTCAAAAAAACCAAAAAAGAAAAAAAATGGAAAAAAAAAAACCTCTAATGTTAATTTGCACTTGAAATAATCTGGAGAGAAGTATATTGTGTAGTGTTTCCATCTTAAACACAGACCTCTGCTTTCAAGAAAGGCCATTAAAGAGCATATCCAGGACTCAGGGAAACAGCTCAGTGGGTAAACGCCTTTGCTGCTCAAAACTGAGCACATGAGCTCACATCACCGGAACCTGGGTAAAAGCTGAAGGTGAGAACCAGCACCCAGCATTGTCCTCTGACCTCCACAGACACAGCATGGCATGGGCACACCCTTACACACAAACACATACATGTACATACATGCATTCACAAAAATATTTTTTAAAAAAGAACATATTAAGACAGGCGGTGGTGACGCATGCCTTTAATCCCAGCACTTGGAAGGCAGAGGCAGGTGGATTTCTGAGTTCGAGGCCTGCCTGGTCTACAGAGTGAATTCCAGGACAGCCAGGGCTACACAGAGAAACCCTGTCTCAGAAAAAAAAAAAAAAAAAAAAGAACATATTAAGGAAATTGTTGAAAGAAGTCAAGCCTTTGGCTCAAAAAGACAGTAATTTCTTTGAAAGGTTAGCATTAATGCTAACTAAATACGAATTCTAAAACCATACCTGTCTTTAATAGGTATTTAAAAAAAAACAATCAAACACATCATTAAAATATTTGTCTTTCCCCAAGAAGAAAACAGCAGGTAAGATTCACACCCTGGCAAGAGCCCCAAGACTGCCGTGACACTGCATGAGGGGACAGAGAACTCCAGACTTAACAGTTTCGTGGTTTTCCAAGCTCCAGCTGTTGAGACAAACTTATGGATTCTAGCAGAAACCAATGCTGCAGTTACTTGCGGTACCCATTTTCTTTCCCAAAGAGTCTGATTGCTTTTCACTCAGGCAAAAAGCACGCGCTCGGGAACAGGTAAAACTGAAAGGAAAAGGACAACCCAAGCCAAGCTCTCTCGAACTCCCTGGACTACTTCTGACACTGCTGTGTCACCAGCACATGGGCACATGGTGGAAGCTGGCGTCCTCTGTATACCTTATTGGCTTTACTGACCAACTGGCAGTGCAGCTAGCATCCCCATCCCAGAGCTGCAGTTTCAGAGACTTTATAACCAGAAAGAAAGGCTGTGGGTTCTTTCCCAGTCCCCACCACCTGCTTAAATTCCCTTGGGATTTCAGACTTTCAGAACAGGATTGAGGATCTTTATAGTACAATCGTCTCAGGGGAGAATTCTTTCTCTGGAATATCTGATGTATCTCTTAGATATATCAGCAGATCCTAAACTCTGAGAATAGCTGGCATTGTTTCTTCCTGCCACTAGTTCCAAACAGTAAACACGGGGTACATGGTGGTACATACTTTTAATACCAGAACTCTGAGACAAAGTCAGCCCGGCCTACATAGTGCTTTTAAGCTAACCAAGACTTCACAGTGAGACCCTGTCTCAAAAGAAAGAGGGGGCAGGGAGATATACTGGCAGGGGAGAACCAGACAGGTGTGAAACTCACACTTCAGTGGGAATAAATCTCAGCATTTAGTATTTTAAAAAGATTTACTTTAAGTGCTGGCTTGAAGTGGAGTGCACTTTATGTATATGAATACATTGTAGCTGTCTTCAAACATTACAGATGATTGTGAGCCACCATGTAGTTGCTGGGAATTGACTGAACTCAGGACCTCTGGAAGAGCAGTCAGTGGTCTTAACTGCTGAGCCCCAGCATTTAAATTTAGCCCTTTATTTCTAATAAATCTAGCCCTTTAATGATAATTCTGAAATAGATACCCTTACGGAGAAGAACCACTAGGAAATCTCCTTTTAGCACCCCCCCCCCCCCCCCCGGGAAGAGCTGCCTTGCGCCGCCGTATTTGCATAAATGCCATTTTAAAAGTTGACTTCTCAGCTGGTCGGTGGTGGTGCATTCCCTTATTCCCAGCACTCAAGGCAGAAGCAAGTAGATCTCTGAGTTCAAGACCAGCCTGTTCTACAAAGTAAGTTCCAGGGCAGCCAGGGCTACACAGAGAAACTGTCTGGAAAACATAAAAACAAAAAGTGGATTTCTCTGTGGAAGTCTCTACATTTCAAAAATCTTTTGACAAGACATAAGATCAATAATTTCTGCTGAGCCTGGCCTTGTACTCATGGCCATTGTTTACTAGTTGCAAAGAAAAAAGAATTTTTTTTTTTTTTTTTTTGGACAGGCTCTCTTATAGGCTATGGAGACCTCAAACCTGCTTCCAAGAGAAAGGTCATATGACCTTGAGCTCCTGCTCCTGCCTCTCCTTCAGAGAACTGGGACTGCAGACACACGCCACCATGGCTTTATGGAGTGCTGAACTGCACAGTATGTAAGTACTACTCTACCAACTGAGCTGTGTCTGGAATTGCCTAAAGATAGAAGTAAGATACACGAAGTACTTAGACACAGAAGTATCAAGAACTGTGCAAAATAATTTTCATTTGCTATTGGATCTTCATGTCTGTCCTGCTGTAGTTAGTCTACAAGGCTTACCTTCCTTCAGTTGAAACTAACGCTCTGTGCCTAACCCTTTGATCTGCCCAACACAGCAACTTCAACAGCCATTTAAGGAACAGAAATTCCTCATTAAATATGATACATCATTATTCACATGGAAAGAGTGGACGGACAATAATACTTAATGTAGAAGTTTTGGAGTTTTTTATATAAGTTTGGAATGCAACCTAAATGTCTTTTAAAGAAATAGTGCATAAAGTACAATACAATATATTCACATGATGAGAAATCACTTAAATGTGGAGAACTGGTGCAGCCCTTGAGCAGCAGCCGAAGCCCTGGGTTCCATCCCTAGCACTGAAGGAGGGCATGAAGGAAAGAGACAGGGATCTTCCTTCTCCACACCACCTTAACCTTCCAATTTGTAATTACAACCCTATTTATTTTCTTTATGTGCACACCAAGAATCTTAGCAATACACACTCTACAAACAGAAACTAAAGATGGGGTGGGGGCAGCTATGGTAGTACATGTCTTTAATCCCATCTCTTGGGAAGCAGAAGCAAGCAGATCTCTTGAGTTTGAGGACAGGCTGTCCTGCATAGTGAGTTCTAGGCCAGCCAGAATGACATAGTGAAAGCCCGCTGCTGTTTTTAAAGACTATTGCCCAGTATGGTACAGAATGTTCTTATAATCCCAACTGAGCCCAGAGGATCTCGAGTTCAAGGCCAGGCTGAGCAGAGAGAAACACAGCTGGGAAAGAAACACAGAAATTATTGATCTTGCGAAGTTTCCCAAAAGGCAGCGGCAGCCCGATTTAGCAATAGGGAATCACTCAATTTCCAAGCCGGGTGACGCGCTGTACCTTTATTCTGTTCCTCACTAAGAAACTTCATTTCCCTGACTTTCCATTTTCTCACCCAAACAGAGCTGACATCTGCCCTGCAGCGTGAGCTGAAACAATGGGCGAAATGTTAAGCAGACCGTCCTAGACTTGACTTTTGTATAGTCGGTCAGGATGCACTTGAGGAAAATGCAGTGTCTGCACCTTTTGCATTTTATCTCTACGAGGTTAAAAAAAAAAAAAGCCAACGTAACAGAAAGTCCAACCCCTTATCTTCCTCTTCCATCCCACGTGGCTGCCTCTTATGCTGTCTAAATATAGTAGAGCGTGCAGAGAGACAACCGACTACCACTTTTAATGGGCTGCCTTTGGGACTCCCTGTGACCTTGGGAAATACTTTTCCATTTTGCCAGTCTCCCGCGCTGGGCTGTGTTGCATCCACCCAAACACACCTATCCTTCTGCAGCATGGCAGGCAGATAACCACGCCACCGTGGCGGTCACAAAACAGACTGTAAACATCGAAACGCAGTGTTGGTGGTGCTGGAACGTTCAGTTTACTTCCCGCTATTAAGAGGAAAGTACTGTGGATTCTTGGCGCCCACTCTGCAGAATGGAAGAGTTCAAAGCCTCGGGCGGGTACTCTGCAACTTGCTTCCAAAAGTACGGTCCCTGCCTTAGGATTCCATGCAAAAACTGGCAGAAGGAAGCCCCAGGCTGCAGGCTGCAGGCTGCAAGTGAGACGGGTCAGACCCACAGCTGACATCCTCCCAGCACGAGAGGACGCACCAAGCCTCCCATTTCCCACCCCGCATGCCCCCTCCCGCTCCCCCTGGCCCGTCGCAACGTCCCACCTGTCTTGAAGGCCATGTTGTCATCGTCCTTGGCCCCGAATTGCTCCAGCATGGACACGAAGAGTACCCCGTAGGCGTTCTGGATGCCAAAAACCGACCCGTTGCACCACATGGCCGCCAGCATCACCAGCCAGCCCCAGCCGCCCTCGGGGGGCACGGGGGGCTCGTTGCCCGTTGACCTCGTCAGCTCCACCTCCACTTTCTCTGCCGCCACGTCGGAGACATCCGAGGGTCCCGGGCCGGGTAGCGGAGCGTCATCCGAGGCCGCGGGCCCCGGCGGCTGCGCCTCGTTCGCCTCCCGCTCGGCGGCGGGCTCCTCCTGGGACGGCACCATGGCCCGAGGCGGCCCCGTCGGGCGCCGAGAGAGTCGCGGGCGCAAGGTCCGGGGTGCCTCGCGGAGCCTGGGCAGCCGCGCAAACCGAGGAGGGAGGCCGCGGGGAGGACTCTGGAGCCGCGGGCGAGCCGCGCACACGGCAGACACCGCCTAGGGCGGCCAGAGGACTTGACACACCGGCTGTCCCTCGCGCCTGATTGAGCCGGTCCTCAGCCGCCACCTCTTAAAAGCGCCCCTCCCGCCCTCCGGCACCGCCTAGGGGCGTGGCCAGCGGAGAGCCTTACACCCTGAGTCCACAGGTGATTGGGCATCCGCAAGCGGAGGCTCCGCCTCGTGGGGAGGAGGGGGGGTCTAATGATCGCGCGCGCGAGCGCGAGCGCGCGCTTCAAAGCGCGAGGCCAAATCAGCGACCCTGCGTCTTCCTCCCGGCTTAATGTCACCTCCTCTCAGCATTAACCTGGGGAGCGGCTCCTATGTGTGGGCTGCGTAGGTGATCGATCAGATAGGGCCACCCTGCGTCCTTACCCTCACCGGAACAGACAGTCACAATTGACAGTTTAGGTTTCATGCTTGTTGTCTTTTTTGTGCTAATTATAATATAGAAGATTCCTTATGCCACATACCTACTTAAAAGGCAATTCAAGAGTCAGAGACCTTGTTTAATTACTGCAATTCCGTGAAAAGGCAGTTTGTTTTGAATACTTGGCAAACTGGAGACGCTCACTATGCAAGACAGACCGTCTTCCAAATTTTTCAACTAACAAACATTTTTGACAGGCAGTTAGAAAGCAACTACACAAGTTGTCCTCACACTAAACAAAGAACTAGCACTTATATTCAACTCCTCTGGCCCCTGAAGCATGTGTCTTTGTATATAGCCTTTGTATCTTCTTAATTTCTCAGATATTTAGATTACTCACTCCAAACAGAATCAAAATATGCTAATTAGGTGTCTACCATTGTGGTGGGTTACACAGTGTATTAGTAAGGGTTCTCAAGAGTCACAGAACTATGGGTAGTCTCTATATAGTAAGGGGATTTGTTGATGACTTACAGTCTGTAGTCCAACTCCCCAACAATGGGCAGCACCAGCTGTGAATGGAAGTCCAAGGATCTAGCAGTTGCTCAGTCCCCTAAGACATGCAGGTGAACCTTCCTTCTTCCAATGTCCTTATATGGGTCTCCAGCAGAAGGTGTGGCCCAGATTAAAGGTATGTACCAACACGCCTGGATCTGGGACCCAGGTGACCTTGAACTCAGAGATCTCCTTACCTCAATCTCCTGGGACTAAAGGTGTGTACCACCTTACCTAGGCCTAAGCTTTTCATGGCCACTATGCCTCAAGATCAGGATCCCAGGTGTTGCAGTCTCTTTCTGGATTGTAGTTCATTCTGGATACAGTCAAGTTGACAACCAGGAATAGCCACCACACACAGTAACTGTCATTATGACATTTTTGTTTCTCTCTGTCCTAAATTAGTAAGTAAAAACAGTCCAGAAATAGAAAGTGGGGTACAATAGGGTTCAAATACTGGGACATCAGCCAGGAGGTGGTAGCACACACCTTTAATCCCAGCACTTGGGAGGCAGAGGCAGGTGGATCTCTGAGTTCTAGGCCAGCCTGGTCTACAGAGTGAGTTCCAGGACAGTCAAAGCTACACGGAGAAACCCTATCTTGAAACCAACTATCCCTCCCCCCAAAAAAAGGATAGTATCTAGAGAAAATAAGTTTGAGCTGAGCTCTGGATCAGCCATATGGTTTCCTGGACACGGACAAACAAAGAGCATTCCAGCCCGAGAGAAGGAGAAGAAACCAAAGAAAGAGGGTACTCCAGAGGAACGATCTGGGGCTATAGGTCAAATGTGGGTGCTTTGGAGATTAAGTTAAAACGGTCCAATAGCTTGGATATATAATCTCCCTCAAATGCCTGCCTTAGTCAGTGCTCTACTGCTCTGAAGAGACACCATGACCAAGGTAACTCTTTATAAAAGAAAAAAGCATTTAATTGGGGGTTTGCTTACAGTTTCCAGGTTTAATCCGTTATCGTCGAGGTAAGCAGCTATGATGGTTTGTAGATGCTTGGCCCAGGGAGTGGCACTATTAGAAGGTGTGGCCTTGTTTGAATAGGTGTGTCACTGTGGGTGTGGGCTTTAAGACCCTCATCCTAGGTACCTGGAAGCCAGTATCTGCTAACAGCCTTCAGATGAAGATGTAGAACTCTCAGCTCCTCCTGCACCATCTCTGCCTGGACACTGCCATGTTCCTGCCTTGATGATAACAGACTGAATCTCTGAACCTGTAAGCCAGCCCCAATTAAATGTTGTCCTTATAAGAGTTGCCTTGGTCATGGTGTCTGTTCACAGCAGTAAAACCTTATCTAAAACGGTATCTCTTCATAGCAATGAAACCCAAGCTAAGACACAGGGGGTTAAACACCTTCTGGTGCATGTAGGCAAAACAGTCATATACAAATAAAATAAACTAAATATCTAAAAAAGAAATTTAAAAATAAATTAATAAACTGAATACACAAAGTTCTGAACTACTAAATATGTGGCCATGAGATTCCAGTTATGCTACATGTAAGTGCAGTTTCTAGCTATAATACGTAATACAGGCTGGCTTGCTGCCACCTGTATGACCATTTGAAATCAAACAGCCAAATGTAGCTTTGAGCTACCTCAATGGCTATGGAGAAAATTCTAAAACATAATCTCTTTTGAGATGCGCTCTGCAAATCATAAAATCAGAATAGCGCCATGATGATGACTATTTGGTGGGTGCGCTCATGAACATCTGTAGTTTAGTATAATTACCCAGACACACACACACACACACACACCACCACCACCACCACCACCTAAAAGCCTTATAGTGAACAAGCTGGCTAAAAACATATGCATGAAGATCATGGGTCGTGGTGCACACCTTTGATCCCAGTACTTTGGGAGAAAAGGCAGACAGATCTGTGTGAATTCAAGGCTAGCCTAGTCTATATAGTGAGTTCCAGGACAGCGACACCTAGAGCTATATAGAGAGACCCCAACTTATAATGTATTAATTAATTAATTAATTAATTACGGTACGAACAGGGCTGGAGCTACAGCTTCCTGAAGAGCTGTTGGAGATCACCCGCCTGGTGTGCGAAGCCCAGTGTTCAATCTCCAGCACCGTAAGACAAAAAGTTCTTGAAAACACAGAACCAGTACACAGAACGGCTGAAATGTAGGGGTGTTCTCTTCTTGTGTGAAGTCCTGGGTTCAAGCAAAACAAGACTAAACGAGGCTGGGGATATAGCCTATTGCTTAGAATACGTGAGGTCCTAGGTTCAACCTTCACGTTGTAAAAACACACAAAAAAAAAAAACAACAAGAAAACACAGAGTTCTTAAACATTGGTTTGCACAAATGATAAATGTGATATTTTGTGCAAAAAAAATCTTTACTTCAGAAACTAGACTAAATTAACTCTGATTTCTACTTTCTTGATCTCTTTCCAAAGTCCCCTCAACCTGCCCGTCTTCTAGTACCCCCCTCAGCTTCCCAAAGTCCAAACCAGAATGTGGAGGCCTCTCCTTCATATACCTCTTGCTGCCTTCCCCAAATACAATCCTGTCAATACCCGCTCTAGAAGACCATTTAACTAACCCCTTGTTCTCCATTCCAGAAGCTGGTTCCCCAGTGAGTTCTTCTCTCATGAACCATCATGCGCTCCCAAGCAGCCTTGCTATCTGCAAACTGAGCCACACTTCACCCTCATCCTGTACCTCCCCAAACCCTACTCCACCCTGAAAGCTCACTTCTCATTTCAGGCCCTGTATAAACATCTCTGAGCCTTCCTGAAGACCATATTTCTAAATTGACCCCGTGCTACGGTTTGGAGGTGTTTCCCAGAGTTTATATGTTTTCAGCACCATCCTTTATTCGATAGCACAAAGAGGCCCTTCGAGAGGTGATTAGATCCTAATGGCTCAGCCCTAACCAGTGGGCTCATCCCTATTGTAGGAAGGAGTGCTGATAATAGGATGACTCACGGCCCTCCCCTCCCCATCTCTTAGATGACGCAAGGATGAACATGTGCTATCTTGTGCTTCTGTCCTCTGACATGGGATGAAATAGCAAGAAGAGTCACACTAGATGCTGACTCCTCGCTCTTGGTTTTATGGCTTCCAAATCTATAAATAAATTTTTGTTCTTTACAACTAAATATGCTTTTAGAGATGATGAAACTTTTTTTTTCCAATGTGAGGGTTGAACATAGGGCCTCACATATCTAATCCACAGCCTTTTAAAGGCCTTTTTACTTTGAAGCAGAGTCTTGGTAAGTCTTAGCCACTTCTCTATTGCTGTGAAGAGACACCACGACCACTGCAGCTCTTATAAAGGACAACATTTAACTTGAGCTGGCTTACGGTTTTAAAGATTTAGTCTACTTCCATCAATGGCAGGGAACATGGAAGTGTGGCAGTAGACATGGTGCTGGAGAATTAGCTGAGAATTCTACACCTGGGTCTGTGGGCAGCAGGAAGAGAGAGACACTGGCCTGGCTTGAGCTTTTAAAACCCCCCAAAACCACCACCCATGACACACTTCCTCCAACAAGGCCACACCTACTCCACACCAAGGCCACACCTCCTAATACCTCTCAAATAGTGTCACTCCCTGGTGACTACATATTTAAATCTATGCACCTACGGGGGCCAGTCTCATTTTAAACTACCTGGAACTTTCAATTCTTTTGACTCAAACTCCCCAGGTAGTTGACACGGCCTGTACCATCAAACCTGACTTACATAGTGAAATCTTTATCTTGGAAGTTCACCTTTAAAGTGGAATTCATTACTCTGAAGACTTCATGAATCCTTTATTCTAGGCTTCATACTTTGTTTAAAGAAACCTTCTGTTAGTAGAGAAGTATTAAGTCCCCTTAATGAGACCAGAAATTGTCAAACAGAGTAGATTACATTTAGAAAATTTTAAAAGTGTAGCTCCACAACAATTACATGATCAGACAAACTGAATGGAATTCAAGAATCACTTGAAGAACCTCACATTTGAGCTGGAAATGTAGTTCAGTGGTGGCATGCATGTCTAGCATGTGCCAGGCTCTGGATTCTATGCCCAGTACAAAAAAAAAAAAAGTAATACTAGGCATGGTAGCACATGCTTTTAATCCCAGCACT